TAGCTTCTGTCAACCACATTTCTAATTAAAAGTAGTGTGTGTGTGTGTGTGTGTGTGTGTGTGTAAAAATTCAAATAAACTCACAACAAGAAAAAGTAAAATACCAGCTAATTTTTAAAAAATGTCGTAAAAAGTTCAGGAATACTAACACTATTTTAGATCAGAAAAGCATTTGAATTCTGTAAATCATGGCTTAATGAACATGACCTCTCCATACTCTTCCCCTTTAATTAAAGGCGAGTATTAAAGCAAAACACAAATAACTAGGATGTCTGTAACCAGTGGGATTTCAAAGGTAACTGAATATTTCAGAACATACACTAAACTAAAATGAAAGGGAATTTCCATATTCAGTGAAGAGAAAATAGTGCAAGTGTGTGTTTGAGGGGAGAGGGCAGGTGATACCTCAGCTTCTTCTCGTGTTTGCATTTTCAAACTCTCAACCCACAGATTGCAAGTCAAGCACCCTAGCCACAAGACCAACTTTTGATCTATAAAATTGTCACCTAAAATACCTATAAAGTGTAGAATTTTTACAGAATGTCTAATATACAGGCACAACTAATGTCTGTTAGTTTTGTGTGGTTAAAAAAAACAAAAAAACCACAAGATTTTTGATAACCAAGCATAATCTGCAATTGCTATTCCTAAAAATTACATCTATAGGATCAGTAAAGAAAAGGTTAGGCACGTAGGTTGAAGAAATTATTCAAATATATATCTCTCTTTCTCTCTCATACACCGGTGTGACAACAGTAAGTCTAAGGATTTAAAATGCTAAAATCTGGTGGACACAGCAGGTAGCCCAATGCAGCTTTGCTCTTTATATATAGAGAGAGAGAGGGGGGGAGAGACAGATAGAGGGAGCTATATATATATATATATTTATACACAGTGTTTATACATACAGACTAAGTTAAGATGATTGTTGCTGCATATTTCATTTGCAAGAAAAATTGATCAATTATAACTTAATTGGAAAAAAATTGGTTTATTTTATAATTTTACAAACATACAATAATGTTAAATTGGCATAAATGGTTTAAGTAGTAGAGGATCTTTTCACCCTTTCCAGTTTCTGGTAACTTTCTAATGATAACAAGTTCTTCTTTTGGTTTTCAGACTTATGTAATGGAGGAAGAATAACTGCAATGTATCCATCTGACCATGGCTGGAAGTAAAGAACACTTATTAGAAAAACATTGCAAACATTCATTCCTTTATTTAAAAGTTTGCTTTCAATAAACTGAAAAAGTTAAAAAATTAGGATCAAAAATTTCATATTCAAACATACTTTTTATACTACCACATGTCTTTGCATTAGTCAAATTTTCAATTACAGAGCAGCTACGAGTATCTATGTATACTTCTGTCAAAAAAACCTATGCCAGCATTATATAGAGAAAATATCTATAATTAAAGCAATCACTAAAGCAAAAATGAGCAAAACTGAAAATGAAATAGGGATACTGTTTTTTCAGGCTGGAAACATGAAAAATGTGGTAGAGCCAACTTTGCATACACTCAACAGAACACGTGAAATATTCACTCATGACAAACTGATTTGAGGAATTGTATTCTGGTGTTTACCCCTTTAATTATTTTTTGGTGTAGCATATAACAATAAAAAGATACACATGCTGCTTGTTTTATATTTGAGCATGTGTATCATTACTATTTATAATACATAGTACCTACTAACTTCAGGGGTAGCCACACTAATTCACAACGATACTGAAATTCAGTACAGGTCCAGAACAAATAAACTCTTTCAGAGAATAGTTTTAACTACCTGTACACCATTTTGATTATTATATACCAACTCTTACAGTGCTTCACAAAATTGTAACATTTTATTGAGACTGCTATGTTGATATAACCGAGACATGGTAAACATTCTAACCATCTGCATACAAATATAAAATAGCATATATATATGTGTGTGAATATTCAGCTATTTATTGCATTAATTCTTCATTTATAAAAAAAACATTTAATATCGAGTAAACCTTTTTCTTCTCTATGACCTAGTAAAATATTTTTCAAATAACCAAGTTTTGTATTTTTTTAATACTGCATATCTAAAATCTTCTAAATGTACACAAATAGTTTTATTATCACTTCTCTTTCTGCATTACTTAAAGTAACAGTATATTTGATTCTTGGGTGTGTGAACCAAAAAATAGTTTTAAGTCATATAATTACTTTTCTTACCTTAGAATAGATAGTTCCAACCTGCCTAATCTACATAATTATACTTTTCCCAAATGGACAAACTGGGAGGTATGTTAAAAACATCTGTAGTTTATGTCATTTTTTATCTCAAATTTTTAGGCCTACTGGTTTCTGATACTTCGCTGACTTTTGGCATTTAAACCAGAGCTTTTAATATGTTATGTAATTAAGTCGTTAACCTATTTACATGAACAGGTTTCCTATTAAATTGCAACTAGCTTTAGCTGGATAGGAAGCAAAAGTATACCTGTCGTTATGTGCTGCTTAAATAGTACTTATTACAGTAAGCTTTAAACTGGCTTACTAATTTCTAAGCATACAACTTTTACTATGGTTTCTTTCAGCCTGTACCAATAATGTAGACATATTAATCATTTTCAGATGTTATTTTTAATACTCAAAGTTATTTTTAAGCTATTCATACTAATTACGGAATTCGAAAAAAAAATCCAAAATCAAAGATTTTTTTATATTACCACGATTTGAATATTTTTTAAAATACTTCAATTTCCACCTCATGGACCATTTTAGTCTCTGCAAAAGAGATTACATAGTTGTCATAGCAAGTTTTATTGCCATGAATTTGTTTTCATTGAATTATATATTATCTTTCACACACTGTAACAAAACCCTTTGCTAGTTTTATCACATAAAATTTAAGGATAATACTTTTTACAAAAAATTACTTTATTTAGTTTTTATTAGGGTAATATTATGAAATTTTGTAAGGAGAAACCCACAGAATGGTACTGATCGTATTTTAAACTTGTTACAGATTTTACACTACATTGCACTACTTTAGGATTAAAAAGTATCTTAATCATAAATTCTTATACCTGACGATATCTATCCCATCACATGAAACGTAGTTCAAAAATGTCTTAAAAAACAAAAAATAGGAAGATTAGTCTCATGTAAGCTTAGAATATCAATTAATGAGACAAACAATTAATCAAATAGTAAATACTACGTGTGGTGCACTATCAAAAGAAGTGAGCAATTTCATTGTGTTTGGCTTGAGATGCCTGACAGAAAAAAAGTTTGTGATAATGATAGTGATAAAAGTATGTGCACATAAATATGTTATGCTTCTTATAAATAGGCCTGCTATCGAATACAAATATTTTATAAAATTGGCTTAACAAACTAGGTCTTATGTAAGGGAAATATACTTCTTGAACTTAAGGTATTGTTTATGTACTCGGCTACAATATTTCCCCCTCATTTGATGTTAGAACTGGGCAATTAACGAAACTCATTTCCATTTGTTCTCGATTTGGATAGTTGCATAAAATTACACAAATGTTATATGCACTAGTCATTCCTAATTTTGAACTAACAGGCTCAAAGAGAGGCAGGTAGTCAATAGCACCCACTATCACCTTTTGGGCTACTCTAATTGAACACTAGGAGGCAGCTAGTCAACAGCACCCACTGACACCTCTTGGGCTACTCTAATAGAACAGTAAGTGGTAGCTAGTCAACAGCACCCACTGCCACCTCTTGGGCTACTATAATTGAACAGTAAGAGGCAGCTAGTCAACAGCATCCATTGCCACCTCTTGGGCTTCTTTCATCAAAACGTGGAGCATTAACCATAGATCCTCAGGTCCACAATCCAGACACACTTAGCCCACCTCAAGTCTGATGAAATATATATATATATATATATCTACAGAGAAAACTTTAAAATCCTCTAAAGCAATATCATTATATTCTTAATTTAACCACAACTTTGTAAAGACATTGAGATCTAGCATGCTAACAACAATAAAAACTTCTAGCAATGGTGTAAAAACAACCCTTTTATTTCTCTGAAGTTCAATGTACAAACAATTATCCAAACTATCTTCCTCAATACATCTTGAACTTTTGCATTCAGTAAGGTGTGTCTTGTTATCATTCAGTGATCTCACCCACATTCAAACCTGTAGATCTCCAAATACAAAAACCTTAGAATCCTTTCCTTTCCCATATTTTTCAAACTTATATGAAAGCTACTTCTGCTCAAGAGGATTTGCATCACTAACCTTTGACCTTTGATAATTTTGTTCTTTGATGATGGTTTAATTCAAGCTAATGCTACACCGTAGACTTCCTTATATGCACCAGTAATATACCAGTTAATTAAGAGTGGATTGTTTTATTTAAAATAAGAATAGTTGTTTTATATTGAAATAAATGTAAGAAAACCACTCTTTTTATTTCTGGTTGACATGGTTAGATTGCTATAATTGCTATATTTCTTGGATCTTTAAAGTGGGTTTCAAGAAGGAATTACAAAAATATGGATATATAGCTAACAATTTATTAAACTTGTTTCATATATAAACTAGAGCCAAAAATAAAATTCAAAAGCTGAATTTATGAAAATGAAAACAAAATGCTGAAGAATAAAACTATAGCACCTAAAGATAACATGACAGATGCTGAGTACCCTGTATACATGAGAATGACAGTCAGTTAAATGACCAAGTACGAAGCCGAAATTAATTCTGTCAGGATTATAACTAGCAATCCAATATATAACACACATAATTTGGATATTAGTGTTTTATCAAAAATATTTCATGTGTCAAGTAATTTATTAATCTTATTAATCATATTAGCCTAATCACATAGTCTAATTGATGGACTATTCTAACTAAGTGTACGGAAACATTTATAACGATTAGAATGTATTGACTCATTTGAGTACCTTTGATGTTAGCAATATTTTTGTTCATAAACCCAAGATCTTATGATATTCAACCAACTTATGAGATTTAAGTTAGTCTTAATTCTATTTATTAAGTTAAATGCAAAACAGTTGTACAAATAAATGATATATGTTAACAATTTTAATCAATAATGTTAATGAAAGTAATACTAATGAAGGAATAAAATACACAACTATGTTATAAAATACAGAAAAAATAGTCATTTGCTTAATGCATCATCATCAGTTCACTGTCTTTGAAAAGTATGATACCAATATATGCACAACTATATAATCCTCCCTAACAACATATAGTGACCTAATGAAAGTCCATTAAATGGCTCAAACAATGTAATTTTAGAGCAGCTTAGCATATCAGATAAATTACTACAACACATCACTGTTTATCTATAGTTGGGTGACAGAACAGATGGCACAACAAACATTCATGTTTAAGATGAAAAAATAAGTGAATAACAAACTATGAAATCAACAGTAAAAACATTATTATAATTAAAATAACAAAGTTAAAATCTGACTGTTAAAGGATTGGTATAATTAATATATCCCTCAAAAACTAAAGCTGTCATTCTGGAATGTACGTATGATTGAAAAAAAAACATTTGTTTATCTGTATATCAGTTTTACTGATGTAGAGTCAACAATTTCAAAGTATAAACAATTAAAGTTAACCTGGAAGATGGATGCAATGTCTTAAATGGAAGATTCCTGCTGCACAATAGGCATTTTACATTATTCATTCATCTCTAACAGTGATTTATGATATAAAATATGCAAAGTTATTCATCATATTACATAAACAACAATTTCAAAACTGATCAATGTGATTTAAAAAAAGTAAAATTCATGTATATGGTATGTGAATTGTTCTTATTGCTACTTGTTCAACAGAGACTCTAGGATTACTGATGATGGAATTTCTCGAGCCTAACCTAAATTAATGACAGGTGGCAGATCCAAGGATAAATTGGGCCTCATGTTTCTTTCTTGCCAAAGTTCTGATTTTTGGTGATGAGAGGAAAAATTACATTATCTTACAGTAAGGTACTGCTGCAACGAAATTATACTGTATCTAAAAAAATGAGCATTAACAATTAACTTTTTCACAGTTATTTGTATTAATAAATTAACATAGAACTGGAATAAAAAAAATATAAATGTGAATCAAAATTATCTTGAGAAAAATTATAAAAGTGTTTTGGGATGGTAGTAAGTGAATACTAGGCTGTAATTATAGGTAGATTTTTGACCTTCGAAAGTCAGAGTACATTACCAAATGAAGGTTTGAACCTTTGATAGTACTAATTTGCATACTTTACTGATAAAATCACCATAACTACTAATTTATATTTGACTGGAAAACCTTCGTTTTACAGGTAATCCACATAAATTAAATAAACCATTCACATGTAGTTTAAAAATGTTATACAGAACAGTAATCTTGCTTTACTTTTTAACTAAAATTCAAAAATGTACATGTCCACGTATTTGATGCTACATGTGATACTTGAATAACTACCAACAGTAAGATTGCATTGAAAGAACTGCAGTTGAATTAAGAAAAACAAATCTTCCAGGCAGGTTAACAGTCGTAGTATTTTTAACATAAAATTATTGATTAATTAAATATACCTAATGAACATAATACTAAATAAACAGTAAAACAGTACAAAGTAAACAAGTAATACCAACAGTTTGATTTAAAAAAACATGCAAACCTTCCACGATAACAAAAAGTTGTTATCAGTCACAAATTTTGTTTTAAGTGAATAAGAAAACCTGTCTTCAATAAAAGTGTCAGCTAATTAAACAGCTAAACAGAACAGAGTAGCAGTAACACTATGGTTAGAAAAAAGATATGGATCTTTTTGTCTTGTACACTAGTCATTCAGTATATTTTATTAAAGTAATGTCACCACTAAATGTAACCCCCTGTGCTTTACTATAATGGTCTGCTCCGATGTATGAAAGGAGCAGCTATGTACAACTTTTTGAAATTGTATGTGTTTTAATAGAACATTTGTGTAAGTAATGGGCATTATACAAATCAAAAGAATTAATTTTTCATGTGAGTGATATTTAATGTGGGATTACTATTAAAACATTGTAAAATGAGTTCTGTTAAGAAAAAAAGAAAGACAGACACTGCTTGGATGCAGACTGCCGAACCTTCAATCACAGCCCTAAGAAACACAGAATTAAACAGAATATTAGAGATTTAAAGTAAGGAAATTTTATTACAGTTAAACAGATTTATTTTACTTCTTTCATAGAACTACTGAACTGTTGAAAAATAAAGTAATTGCTCTGAAAACTTCTATGTAGTGGATATGCTTCATAAAAGTGCATACCTTATAAAAAGTAAATACCTTTTTCACCAAAAGTGAAGGATTGTCCATCAGTGATTTGTTAATTTCAATTAGAGTTCCATGAACACGGCTGTAAATTGTAAATCCTGTCCCATCTTTGCACTTAATTACACAGAGCGGAGATTCTGGCTTCATAACTTGTCCTCCCTTACATTTAAAAACAGAAAAAGATTTTCAATGTACATCATACATTTAACAAACCTCACAATAAGCTCTTGATTCTATAATTGTTGTGAAAATAACTTATAACAGAACTTTTACATTGTATATTTTATACATTTAAAGATCCTTTATTAATGAATACAAAATTTCAACAAAATACAAGCAACTGATGTTGGATATTTATTTTTATCCATAAGCATAAAGTATAAAATATTCAGCCCTTTCAAAATGTTTCTTACAAATTATGGAGATTATAGAAGTAGACACATTTTCTAGGAATAATCTGATATTCCATACATAAAACATTTCAAAAATTAATTACATTAAGAGGCACAAGCATGTAAAATTCAGCTGAAACAGTTGAACTGATTATCTGATTTTGGGGTGAGAAGGATATAAAGGAATAAAGTTACTTGTAAACATATTTCTTAAATTATCGTCTATTGATTACAGATAATCATTTTCACTTTTTGGAAACAATTATTAAGCTAAATTATCAATATTAAAAAACCATATTCTCCCCAATAATTATACTCTCCTATGTTTCATACCAAATGCCCAGCATTGACATATTCATGAGATCAAGCTTCCTAGGAGAACAGCAATGTCAATGTTGTTCCACCTCTTTTGTAGAGCTTTCCATAAACCTGCTAATATTTTAGATCTATGGCTTCAAAGTACTTTCTTATGCAGGCCAAAGGCACAAAAATTCCCTGGAACTGAAACTGATACCTTGGCAGCTACAGAGTATGTATAAGAATCAGACTACTATGATTTCATTTTCCTGGGCCTTCTTTCTTATGAAGCAGTCACTGATTTTGAGGTGTGGCTGGAACGTTTGGTTTTTCAGCCTTCACCAACTTCAAATTCTTGTTGATAATAACAAAAAAAATATGACTAGCTTTACTGCAAAGGTTTTTTTAGATCTCTTTGCAGATGAAGTCACTGGCCCCAATCAGCATGAAGTGTAGTTTTTGAACCCATTGCAGTCTGAAATGCTCTTCTTTGTAAGTATTTTTTGCCTTTATGAAGAACATTTTAAACCTCTTTGAAATATTGCATCTTTTGACTCTGCACTGCTTATTAATCTAGCTGTGTATTTATTTTTAAAATGAACATCCACATACTCCCAATAGCCAGCATTAAGTTTTGGAAGCATTTTAGAAGCTTTAGAAGCCTAATCAAAAGTGTTTGTTTTTATATGTGTGACAGATACACAGCTATCACTTGACTGTTTTATATGTAGAACCAAACTGATGCTTGCTGGGAAAATAGTAATTAATTTACCAGTGTTTGTATAATGCATAAATTACCTTCTGTGTTGGCTTTTCAATTACATAAAGTAAGTTTAGGCAATACTAAATCACAGGCTGTTTTAAAAACTAGAAAATCTCAAATATGGCTCCTAAGATAAAATACAGATGAAATATTGTTGAAAATGATAATAAAGTTCAATGTTGTTCACAAAAACAGCTTGAAAACAGCATTTTGTAACTTCACTTTCTACCAACATACTGAAATAGAGAATTCCTTGATAAATTTTGATAAATTAAAACTACTAGGAAAACATTTATTTTTATTGGTTTGTCTAGTGAATTTCTTGCGTGTCAAGTTATGGTGAAATAAACTGGAACCTTAAGAAGTCTCTAGAAATTGCTGTAAAAAATACTAAATTATATCTATAGTTACTTTAAACTTCAGCTATAAAAACTGATATCCTGTATCTATCCAAAATTAAAATATTATTTATTCTTCCATTTAGGTACTTTTTAAACTACAGCATCAATTATTTTGAACTATCAAACATTTATGCTGTAAGATATTTTTTAATGCATTACAAATCTGTCTTACTCTATTTAAAAGAACATAGAGTTAGTGTTATTTCTATTGCATATCTATTACAAATATTCTGAAACTTTATTTCTCTCTTCCAAAATCCAGAATATCAATACTTTGTTGGTGTTGTGTCAAAACCATTTATATTCAAATGCCCACTTTTAGAGATACATGGTTTTGAAACTACAAAATTTAGGTCATGTGAAATACAAGTTATTAACAATGTAACAAATGTACCATTTATAATTGGAAGATGCATAATGATTTGACAGAATGTGGAGTGACATATTCTGGGAACAATTCCTTGTAAAACACAAATCACAAAAAGGTGGACTTACTGGTTTGGATATGAAAGCAATAATTTTTTCTTTTATATTTAATCAACAATTACAAAATAAATAAAAACATTATTTTAAAACTAATGTTTTTTTTGTTTCAGCAGTTTTATGATATTAGATATTTTAAAAGCTAAAAAAAATCAAGCAAGAAAAAACCTGGTTTTTAACTCAATACTTACTTTTTTCCAGCGACCAGAAACTTGGTTGTTCAAACGACTTTGGAAATCTACAGAGTCTATTTCCTTTTCCTTAGTGAATAATGGGTGAGAAGGAGCTATTGTAGTGACACATATCCTGAACAAGCAAAATCCCACAAATGTAAATATCGCTGGTTATCAGAAAAAAATTCAAAACCACCTGTGTGCTTTTAACCTTATACATGTGGGTTCAGTCAAAAGTGACAATTTGACTAACTCTGTAACTACCATGTAACTGTGAACCTATACATACTATAATTCCAAATGTACTAACTGTATTTTCACAAAATATAGAAAGATTTTTACTGTGAATTTATGAAAACTTTTACTCTGTCAGTTTGAGTGAAAATGATTTTCATATTAAGAATAAAAATACTTCTTTTTATATTAGTTTCATATTTTATTTTCATAACCTCTAGAATCTCCTAAATGAATATCAAAAACTCTTCATCAGTAAAACTTTATACTTTGCTTTTTATCTTTTCTACACTAACAATAACTGTAGTGAAATCGTCTGTGTATGGTGAAATGGAAATTTGAAAAACATAAATCAATAATACCTTTTCTTTTTTCTGGAATGACTGCAGACTGTAACAGACAATTGCAATTATTTATCATAACACTTTCAGCTTCTACCTTTTTCACATCTGCTTTTATTTAATATTATTGTTTGATTACTGTATCTTGGACTGTTTCTCTGCATGAAAAGAAATAAGTCAAAGAGGAAGAACTTAAAGCAAACAATCAGGCTAGTCACATGACACACATACCATCTGACTGATCTTGTGAAATTTTTTGTTTTGTTATCTAACCTAAGAAGTTAACATTTTTGTTAAAAAATATATATCAATAAATAATGTTGTAGAAAACAAGAAATTTATCTCTTACTACAGCTTGATGTAATTTGAACTTCGATGCTGTGCTTCAGTAACCCTACTGTTCCTCACTATAGTCATTGTCCAAAAACTAATTCCTATATCTTTGAAATATGCACTTTAAAGTGAAAAAATTGTATCAGGCTAGAATAAAATGTTCCAAAACTACTATAATTTAGCTAGCTTTCTAAATATGCTAAAAATAGATTAAAAAATTATTAATATTTGGATCAACAACTTTACTCAACACCTATCAAGCTTTTCTTACAAACTACCATCCTTGACAAATGAAATTAAGAATTCCTGTACATTACAATATGCTATTTCTATTGGTTATAAACCTGTATCAGAAATGTGAACAATTGACTTGAAATGCATGGAAAGATGGGAGGGGCTTCTCTAGTTTGTTTTACGAATTTATTGACATATCAGCAAATCAAGAAGGCAAGAGGCTAAATTCTAAATACTTCATTGTCATTATGTGTAATTTGTGTTTCTGTTTGGTTAGGTACTACACAAGCTGCATTGCTGTATATCTAAATCATAGTAAATGGGAGAGATCAGAGGGCAGATGCATCATGTGACAGAAGAGTGAAGTTGGAGTGAAGATTTTTTTTTAATAATTCATTCCGAAACTAAGAAATTAAAACTTAAATAATATTAAAATTTGAATTTTAAACTACATTTTGATTTACTGACATAAAATGATAATAAAATTGTTTGTAAAAAGATTGTGACGCATGCAATACCAGGTCATTCAAACTGATCAAGCCCATATGCATAAGAGTAAAGGAAAGCTAATATTTTAGTGTTCATTTCATTAACTTTCTTTAAACGAAAACTACATCACTGGTGTCCATCCCATAGTCTGCATCCATCTTTAAAACCCAGCTTCTACATTTACTAGAAGATCTTTACTAACAGAATTAACACTCATAAATACATCACATATGAACACAAACTGAGTAAAATTAGTATTATGTAAATGGTGATTCTTTATTCCAAATTTTGAAGAGTTACTAAAATGATGGAAAAATTGCTTTCTACATAGATCATCAATCATTATTACTAAAACTAGTCTATTGAAATATATCCCATCTATTATTTTTTTTTTAAATGTTATTCACAGATAGTATCTTAATTACTGATTTAACATTATTTACAATAATAAGCCTCTACTAAATGTTGGTGTATAAACAAAAATGATATGAGAATGTGAAGACACAGTCTAGTAGCAATGATTCATTACACCAATATAGCAATTAATGATGGTAGAGTTCAGGTGAAACAACCTGTTGCAACTATTCAAAATATAAAATATTTGTATTTATATTTTAACAATATTCTTAAACAACTATAAAAGTTCAAAACATCTAAAAAGATGTAAATCAATACGTTCAGTGTACAGTCAGGTTGGAAAAATCATGCAAAAACTGAAAGAAAAGGTGTGTGTGGAGCTAAGCAATTAACTCAATTACACATATTAATGTCTTGTAAAATAATCAATATTACAACTAAATCAATTAATGCCATGAAAACATTCAAGCAATCAAAATTAGCATTTATGGTTAATACTGTTTTTTATTATTCCAACTATCCAAGTAATCAAAATATTGCCATTATGATTTATTATTATTATTTTTGATTAATTGAAGATTGTTCAGCTTAAACAATTAGTGTCATAACTCACAAATATAATCAACTAATTATATTGAATGTTTCCAATTATTCCAACTATCCAAGCCTCACTTGGGAATAATCAATTAGTTGAATGTAATAGATTAATGAACCCAATGGTTAATCAATTAGCAAATTCCAATAATCACCTAGTTCTACTGTAGGCATGTCCACTGTGTCAGGAATTGCCTGTAACTGCAATGGTTGCTGTATATTGTTGAATTCTGGAATTTGTGTGGTTCACAAAGTTTAAAAAAACCCTAAAAGCTTTGTAGATGTAATTTTGTTTGGTTGAGGTAAAAGATGTGTTCTTCACTTTTGTCCACATCTACCCTATACTTCTATTAAATTTAATTTTCTTTTTTAAATATTTATTGGTTGGCTGTTTCTAATTTGATCAACTTTTTTGTTATATATTGCATGTACAGCATATTTATTGTTATCAATTAGAACTGTAAAACAGACAAAAAATAAAACCAGCTTAAAGTGAGATTAAAACTGCAATTACATTTTGGGATGAATAATTCTATATATAAAACCATGAAGTGAAAATATAAACATTTTGTTGTTGTTGTTGCTTAACTGCTCAGTGTTATAGGTCAATCAATTTTAAAATAGAAATTCAGGAAGAATGATAAACACAATGGCCATAAAAGACTTACTCATTAATGAGCATGTTTTAAGATAGTTTTCCCTTGCTGGACCCAATATGAATAATGGCATGACTAAGTTACAATTTGCATGCCCTTTATTTATTTATAAATTTATCGCTATAATATTATTAATAGATAACGGAACAGACACTTGCCCATTTGAATGAAAGAGAATGCACTGGTCTCCACTTATAGATTGATCTGGAAAAAAAAAGTAGTTCCAAATGCAGCTTTTTCAAACTGTCATTATTATAAATATAAGGAATATCTACCAAATTACCCAAATGTTACATGTAATGATGTATAGATGAGGTTATCTTTCTCAATACAAACCATGCAAGTATAAACTTAAACATACTATTACTATACAGTATAGCAAATCTCAGTATAGGCTACGCATGACTGGCACTACTATTTAATTTTTCACTAATGATAGTAATATTAATTGGTACTCACCGACTACAAAATAAGGAGTATAATACCGTTCCCAAACACATGGGAAAAAATCTACAATACGCATTTTATCCATACGTGAAACAATGAGAAAAAAAAACCAATAACAAAAACACAATATTAAAACAAAGCCATCAATACAGAATAAAAAAACAACAACTTAAGAATATGTTTTGACTGCTATTTACTTAAAAATTAAAACCAAACTTCTTAAGTAAATCAATTATATAACGTTCACAAGCAATCATGCTGTTTGAAAAGGATTTGAAAATACTCTATATTTTGTTCGAATGAACAGAAACGTGTAATATCGTCGCAACTGTATTTGGTGTGTGAGGGCTAAAATCGCAAGGAAAATAAGAAAATAAAAATAATAATAACAATTATATATATTTATATTTGTATCATTTATCGCTTAATTTTCAATTTACTTTCAAAAATTAAAATGTAGTGAAAAGTATCATATTTTTCTTTCTCATAAATTTAAAAAAATGTACACACTTGTTGAAAGTAATAATTTTCCCATTTTTTGTAATCTTCGAGAAAAACAGAAAATTAAAACATTGGTGCAACCTTAAGTTCTTTTATTTTACTTAGAATGTTTCAACAGGGACAGACCATTTGCGACAGGGGAGTCACGGGTAAAGAAACTGAAAGTTCAAATTTAGAAAAAATATAATTATATGACTATACATGTTTTATAGAAAGTTTTCTCTCCACCGACAAAACCACATGGAGATCAAAAATGGGCCAATAATATTGGATATTAAAATCAAAAGGAGTAATTTTGCTATTGCTCTTTTTAAACATTGGATAATGTGATAATCGTAACGACGTAAGACCACCTATTTTGGACAAAGTTTGGAACAATACTATTGTAAGTGCGACCTCTGTAGATTGATAAGTAGCCGTCGCAGACCATCCTGGTCACTCACACTTCCAAATAATATGATGCCATGGCAGAGGGAGATCGACAATCGAGACATGCAAAGTATTTTCTGATAATTATCGACTTTTATGAAGATAAATAAAATAGGGTAAATTATTGTTCTTTAGCTAACAACCACAATATCAGTGATAGATCATCAGATTTGTCTTTTTATAGAATCCCTGCAGACCCAGCTAGTTACAATAAAATGATAACAGCTGTATGTCGAAAGAATTGTAAGGTTATTTTCATCCCTATGCAAACGTTTGCATCTCAATTTCTCAATACTAATTTTTTGGTACAACTGAAAACTAAGCAGTCGTTTGTCAACATGGTATTCATTTTATTATATACAATGTACTTCTCCACGATATAAATTCATATAATCAAACGTAATAAAGAGAAAAATATGTGTGTGTGTGTGTGTGTATATATATAATGTTTTTTCCTTAAGCGTAGACTTGAGAATTCCATACTGGTATGTATTTATCAGGAATACAGAATTTTTTTTGTTTCCTAAAGAAACATTTATTATGTATGTACTTTAAATCCATCAGTTTTAATATTATATTATATAAGACGGTAATGCTCGAATTACATATAATTACAAAACATTTATAGTAATACAGTTCTAGAATATCACATTGAAAGAGTGCAATATAAAAAAGTAAAACATGAAACATCGTGTTGCATATAATGATTTAAGCTATATTTTTAATATTTTAATTTAGATGTTTGCTTACTAGAGGGCGCATAACTATACCTAGAAATTTCACAAAAGTTAAAAACTCTATAGTATCTAGAAATTTCACAAAGTATGTAGAAACAAGGGTATAATATAACAAGCAGAATCAGTGAATCAATCAATCGATTAATGAATTATTCAATGAGTTAATGGGTGATCCAGATCAGTGTTAATAGTGAGAGTTATCGCATCTATTAAGTTAATAGGAGCTATTTAGGATTTTGTTATCAATCGATTAGTGAGAAGTTTATGTTGAAAACTTTATAAGTAAGTTAGGCGTACATTAGTATCGTAGATTCTAATGAAATATTGTCTGTGAACTTAAGCCTACATTTAGTGTCAAAGTGAATGCAGCCTGAAGTTAATGTTATTGAAAAAATACGCTAATATCTTATGCTTACATGGGCTTTACTTAGCATAATTCTTACCAAGTAATTCAAATATATCTCGCCCAATGATAGAATATATTACAGCAATAAGAGTACTAAAAGCATTTTATAAAAGGATTAAACAATATTAATATCAAAATCATGAACTTCAGTTTTGATTTCTCAACTGTGCATTTATTTTTCATCCGTTGTTTTCCTTTGGAGAGGGTATTGCATCCAGAGCATATGCACTTTTGGTACCCATGTACTCACGATGAACCTATGGAGCAAGTGTTAGAATTACATGTGATGAAAATTTTGGATTTCGGCAGTAACAAATACCAGTAGCATATGATAATAAAGTTTCGATTAATGCATTGGCTGGTAAGGATATTGCACTTTAACCTACTTAGAAACTAGCTCTGGTTGAAGAATATACACAATAGACTAGCATTAAGTATGATGAAAATTACAACTAGGTCTGGCCACCTTTGACTGGTCATATATAATAATAATAATAAATAATTGGTGTTAAAATAAATAATTAAACAATAATTTGTTATCAGTCCTTACCATAAATCTGATATGTAAGTGACATAAGTTAATAATAATTATAGTTCACATGTATATTATTTCTGTATAGTTTTACGAATTGAGAATTTCACAGCCTATATTTTAATTTGCCCCCTAGTGGCACAGCGGTATGTCTGCGGACTTATACTGCTAGAAACCGAGTTTCGATACACGTGGTGGGCAGAGCACAGATAGCCCTTTGTGTAGCTTTGTTTTTGATAACAAACAACAACATATTTTAATTTTGGAGTTAACTTGAATTTATAGTTGTATGAGCGTTTGAACTGTGCCCATAGGTTTTGTAAGTAGTTGTGTAAGTTAACAATGAATGAATACCATGTTAATTTAGAATACGTTTTTTATACACACACACACACACATCAACACAATCACTGCCCTTTTATAATATGTATTAGGTCGTCAAGAAATTAATGTCGCATTTTTTTCAGATGAAAAACATATCGGCCCCTGCCATTACATTTTTTAAGGCTAAAGTCACCAGAACGAAATTTGCTGAACCATCGCTGACACTCGCGAACGTTCAAAACATTTCCACAAACTTCTTTGATATTCTTTGTGGCAACAGAGGCGTTGTCTCCCCTCTTGTATTCAATGCCGAATGTGTGTTTCGTCATGTGCCATCACTATAAGGGATTAGAGTATACTAAACTTTACACATTATATAGTCTACACTAACGTGACGTTTAGAAGCTTTGTTTAACTATTATACGTGATGTACGTTTTTGGGGGGTGGTTAATGAAAGTATTCCAAAACGCGATATTTATTTCTTAACGACCTAATACTTTTTCACTTATCCTCCTGACTGTACAATGCATTATTCTACCTATATATATATCGTGTTTTTTTCTATATAAAATCACGAAAACCGTTAACTATTATATGATACGTTGAGCGACGAAACTGATGAAGCAAGTGAAGGTAGGTGCTCTGTCCACCACGGGGAATCGAACCTTGAATTTTGGCATTGTAAGTCCGTAAAATTACCTTTGACTCAGCGGGAGATACTTTTGGGAAGAAGGAAGTCATTTCGCAGATCATTCAATACAAATAATGAAACCGAAAGTTACTGGTTGGGAGTGTTAATGAAAACAACCAAATTTTGGGTCCGATATTATTAATCGAGAAAAGAAACTCGACAGACACAACTTTCTTCGACAACCAACAAAAATGAGCACTAAGTCAGATTTTACTGTTATATACATAGATGTATTGGTCAAAACAGACTTAAAAGTACGAGCAATGAGCTTAAAACAATACTTATTTCATATGAATAATAAATAAGTTTTCTCTCCCCGTTCTCAGAACTCTAGTTATAAATAAAATGACAAAATCATTGATTTTATCCCCGATTTTTCTTTTCTGTCTCCCGGAACTGAACGATATTAATTATAAAATTTTAAAGTAATATGAATGAAAAAATAAAACAATTTATATTAGAGACATCTTAATTCATAAATATTGTTTACTGTCACACTTCTACGGCAGCATGGGTACAAGCCATCCATCCGTTTATCTATCTGTCGTAGGTACGTCTTGCTATCTGTTCTTGCATCCATATTTCTATCTGTCTATCTTTCCGTCTGTTTACACCAAATATCAGGATTAAAGTCTGATTACTATATCAAACTTGGACATCATTTCGAAACTAACGGATGAGGCGTTCAATACTTTAATATTTTTTACCCTGAAACGTGATTTCCATAATGATTATAACCCACTAGAATTTTAGAAGAAATAACTCATCATCGTGTGAAGTCAACATTACCAACAATGAGACAAATTATGTTGATACAAGAATTTTTTGTTCCACGAACAACTTGCCTAATATTATTTGTTTGTTTAGTGTACAGCACAAAGCTACACTATTAGCTATTTGTGCTCTGCTCATCGCAGGTATCAAAACCAGAATTTTAGAGTTATAAGTCTACTAACTTATTGCTGAGCCACCGCAGGGCTTCATTATTGTGTTATATTTAATCAGACAAAAAGATAGTTTTGTAGCCAAAACACAGTAGATCTTTTCTTTCTTTTTTTCCTTTTTAGGTATATTATGCACCTCTATTAAAAGTCTGCAAAATTCCATTTTCCAGCTTTGCTTACTTTTGATTTTAGTGTCAAGCGAGTCTTTCCAGAAAATTTCAAAAATTTCAATACTACCAATTTTTATCCAGCAGTAATAATAATAATAAACAGTGCAAGTATATGGATTGTATACACACTTTTGTAAAGTCTGATTGGTAAAAAGCATATAACCTGCTTTAAAATAGCTTTCAAAATAACTTTATTTTACTATGATTCACGCTAAGTGAAGTAGCTCCAAGAAAGTAAGCATGTCAATTGCAGTAGCACTGAACTGAGCGCTTACAATGCGAGTATCTAGTTATCACGTTCAGAGAATTTTAATTTATCTATCGCAAATTTTACGATATGTACTAATCCTAGCACTAACGGGAATGAAGCAACGAATTCAGTCTGTATCTACTTAGCTGAGACATTTACCTGCTTTTTTATTTGTAAATAAATACTTATTCTTGAAAGCATGCTACATCAACATTGAATCAGAAAAAAACATCGATTTATAAAAATACAACAACAAAAACAGAATACTCTCATCCCTTCTATCAGTTCACTCTAGTTTCCAAAGTTTATTTCTCATAGCTCAGCTATGATCTGGTATCATCTGGAACCACTCCTGATTTGGGC